AAGGCCTTATCTGAACACCAGTCCCTTTGCCCTGGTCAACCAGTTAGATTTGTCCGGAGTTAAGAGCCTTGCGGAATCTCACGCCATAAGGTCAGCAAGTCTCCTCAGGGAGGCCTCTTTATGAGACTGGTCCTGGTGTTGAAAGGCAAGATGACATTGCATAATGAACGGCAGTGTTTATACTGGAGACTGCCCACGGTATTTTCACATGGACACCAGGGCTTTCACAGAGTACTTGGGTTTTCACATGGCATTTTAGCTCTTCCTCCCCCCTTATGATCCAAGCCCAAACACTTCCAGTCCTTCGATGTACTTTAGGCAGCCCCACATCTTAGTTTCTTCCTGCATGAAACCTACACACAAGTGTGTGTGTGTGTGTGTGTGTGTGTGTGAATACATATACATGCATGTACACCCATACTTCAAAACTAAACACCCTGAGAAATGTTAAAGGCCTTTTATTTAAAGACAGAAAAATAGGATGATGTATTTAGTTCTCGCTCAGTCCTGGGATTCTGATCTTGTGTTACTCTGTTTTACAACCTACACCTCATTCTCCGACACCACGAAAGACTTCCTGGCTAATTATTTCCTTCACCAGTCATTACTTTCTGTTTAATTTTTTCCAGTATTTCCATTACCAGACTTGAGATTTTTCCTGCTCCATGTTTAGGCAATTGTCTTCCTCAAATACCCTCAACTCCCTCATTGCTGCTATGATAGATGAAGCACAATAAATAAGAAAAATAACAATCTTTGCAGTCTTTACTATCAAGAATCTGTTGCTCAATTTTTTATTTTTTTCATTCCTTCAGTCTTTAATTTTTTGAGACTCAAAGCTTGAGCTAGCCCAAATTCTTCATTCTCCCCCTTCTCCCTTCAGAGGGAATACGTGTGCTAGTCATGCCTGTCTTCCTTTTTTAGATCTTAAACCACATTTCAGTGCCTCTGTTTTTAAAGAGAAAATTGCTTCTAATAAATGGCCTAGACATACAGACAGAAAACTTCCACACAAATCTTGTTCATCAGGGGATCTCTTATTCCAATGTGACTGATTTGCTTAATGAGAACAAAGGATGAAAACAATCAAAATTAAATACAACGGAAATGTAGCTTAAATCAATGAGTGAGATATCCATAATCAATAAACCAAGAAGAATTGATTCTTGGTAATCTAAGCCAAAGATAATGGATTTTACTCTATAGATTATGTAAAACAAAACAAAACAAAACAAAAATCAGAGAGACCAGGCCTAAAATCTTGAGCCAGTCACTAATTAGCTTTGTCACTAATTAGACTATGAACAAGTGACTCTTTTTCTGTGTCTCTGCTTCCCTGACTATAGAATCGACTACAGGGTGATATTTTTGAATGAAATATAATCAAAATGTAAAGCCTCTAGTACAGAGCTTAGAATAAAGGAGGCATGTAGAAAATATTACCTCCTCTTTTCTCTTTATGCCCCCTTCACCCATTTTCTATGAGTACTTAGAATGCATTGCCCTGGGGTGCCCACTTGATTCAGAAGTCCTATGTTATCAAATTCTATATTATTAATTCAGGATAGCAGAGCACATGCAAGGACCAAGCAACATGAGTGCATACCTTTAATCCCAGCACTCAGGAGGCAGAAGCAAGTATATCTCTGTGAGTTCTAGGCCAGCCTGGTCTACAAAGTGAGTTCAGAACAGTCAGGGCTGTGTAGAGAGAGACTGTCTCAAAACAAGACAAAAACAAAAAACAACAACAAAACAAAAAACTTTAAAAATCATAAACAAACAAACAATTAATTAAATGACAAAACAAAAAGAATACACAGGTTTCCAATTTAAAAGACAACCAACGCCAGGATTGGTAACACGTGCCTTTAGTTCCAGAATGCAAAGCAAGCAGACCTCTGTGAGTCTGGTCTGTATACCAAGCTGCAAGCCAGTTGGAACTACAGAGTAAGATCCTCTCTCAAAAAAATAAAGATAAATAAGAGGCAAAATCTGAATGAATGAGAACAAGGTATTATGATTCGTATGAATGAAGGTTGCCATGATGAAGCCCATTGCTTTTTATTCCAACCTAAGATTTTTTTTTAAGATTTATTTATTTTATGTACGTGAGTGCTCTGTTTTCATGCACATCAGGTTCCAGCTCCAACCTAGAATTTTTAATAAATTATTTTTAAAATAGGCAAAACGTGTAGTGGTCAGAGTTAGGTAATAGGGCCTAGTGAGATGGCTCAGCAGTTAAGAGCACTGGCTGTTCTTCCAGAGGACCTGAATTCAATTCCTAGAAACCACATGGTGGCTCATGGCCATCTATAAAGGGATCTGATTCTCTCTTCTGGCATGCAGGTGTACAAGCTGACAGAGAACTCATACATTAAAAGAAGGAGAGGGGTTGGAGAGATTGCCCAGTGGTTAAGAACACTGGCTGCTCTTCCAAAGGACTCAGGTTCAATCCCTAGCACCCATATGGCAGCTCATAATTGTCTGTAACTCAAGTTCCAGGGAATCTGATACCCTCACACCAATGTACATAAAAAAATAAAATAAAATAAAATAAAATAAAAAAGAATTAGATAACAGTTATTCCTAAAATAAGCCTGATAGTTTATACCTATAACCCCAGCACTGAGGAGACTGGGGCATACTGTCACAAGTTTGAATTTGATTCTGTCTCAAAAAATAAATTAACTCATTTAATTAGACTGACTGGTGAGATAGCTCAGAAGATGAAGATGCTGGCTGCCAAGCTTGACAGCCTCAGTTCAATTCCCAGAATCCACACGTTAGAAGGACAGAAGCAGTGAAGGCTTAAGGAGGTTAAAAACAAAACAAACAAAAAAACAAAACTTGCTTGAAATCAACTAATTACAGGACCTCAGCTAGACCCTGAAGAGGCCTCCTGGCTTCTGGTTCCCCTTCCAGACCCACTCGACTGTTTATTCCTTCTTTCTTACACTTCCAGAGGTCACAAGTGGGCACATCATCTCTACCACTAGATATCTTCTTGCCTTAATTTTAGTTTTGTGTCTCTGTTCTACAGTGTGGCATGCTTCAACATTCAATTTGCCTTCAGGGCATCCCTTAGTAGGTTCAGTCCCTAGAACTTACACACAAAAAAAAAGGGAGAGAGAGAAAAAAAAAAAGAAAGAAAACTAGTCCAGGGAAATTGCAATTTCATATGTGACCATACATGAGATTGCTTTTAGGAAAAAGTGAGATTTTCCTCCTCCTATGACACAGGGTGAGAAGTGAGACTTAAGATTTGTTCCTACCGTTGCTGCAAGGTGGCAGCACTGACACATGGCCACAGAACAGCAGAGAATCCCGTGATCTTAGTAAGGGAACAGTCAACAAATACCATGAGGCCCCAGGAAAGCAACGGAGCCTTTGAATCTGCTCTCCTGCATTGAGAGAACCAAGCAACTGCGGCGGAGGAAGAGAGCAGGTCCAGAGAAGATCTGCTGCTGAGCTGAATGCCCAGCACTACTTTTATTCCTTCCCTATTTTAGTCAACAAACTGTCCTTCGGAATCTGCCTTCCATTAATTTTTCCCCACCAAGACTTTGATGCTTAGTTTGACCAGATTTCAAGCAGTATTGATGTGTCAGGACACAGGGTGATATTTAAATTGTGATTTGATGAAAATATCAAAGCGCCTTATGGAAAGTCCTTTGAACCAGCCCTTTATGTGATTATCAATCAAGAGTTTCACTCTCCAGAACTTTTCATGCGTAGATAAACCCATGTTGGCTTCAATGAGGCATCTTAACAGCTGGTAGAAAGGCTGCGGAGGCTCTGGACATTGACACATAATCTAATTAGATCTTTTCTTCTTTATGATCTCACCTAGCTGTGCCATCAAGAAGTCTTTCAAGTCAGGCATAGCAGTACAAACTTGTAATCTCTGTTCTTGGGAGGCAGAAGCAAGAAGATCAGGAGTCAGTGCCAACCTGGAACACAGAATGAGTTCCAAGAAAGTCTGGGCTATATGGAAATATCTCTAAAAAAAAAAAAAAAAAAAAAAAAAAAAAAAAAAAAAGTTTTAGCCAGGCATGGTGGCACAGGCCTTTAATCCTAGCACTCCAGAGGTGAAGGCAGGTAGATCTCTGTGAATTTGAAACCAGCCTGGTCTACAAAGAGAATTACAGGACAGCCAAGGCTGTTAGACAGAGAAACCCAGTCTTAAAAAAACAAAAAAATAAAGCAAACCAAGTCTTAAGAGCATAATACTAACTATATACTCTTTTCTAAAAGATATAATTTTTGGGGAAAAAAAATCCAATAGTAGCTACTCCCAGCTGCAGACAGTATCACTCATGTAACATATATAGCTTTCTCACAACCTCTTGACCCAATAGTCTTAAGAAAGTTGTTTTAACTATACTCATTCCATTATTCATGTGTGTAAAAACATACATAGTTCCATAGGTGTGCCTATGCTCATATGAAGTTATATGAGCTTGTTATATGAGTTGTTATAACTGTAAATGAATTTGAGAGATCTTTTGGTTGAGACTTGGTTTATACAAGGGAAAAATTGAGATGCTGAGTAACCAAGTAATTTCCCCAAGGTGACAAAATAGACTTGAACTAGAACTCAGCTTGTTCTGATTCCTAGAGTCCAGTGTTCTCCCAGTGGAATGAGGCACTGACTCATTCCATCTTGGCTTCTTTCTCTCTTCTAGAAACTTAATAGGCATCTCCTTATTTCTTAATGATGGTGTGTATACCTATGTGCCTCCATCAGAGAGCACACCTGTGAGTGAGTACGTGCCTACCTGCAAGTCTTTATAAAGCATATCTCTAGGTGTTTATGCCCTTTCTCTTGGGGAAACCTCTAGATAATGACAGTTGTCAATGTTGGCATCAGCAGTGAAGTCAGGGCAGGCCTTCAAAGTCAATCATTAATAAGCAGATTTGGCTCTTTCTCCAATCAACTATATTCCTGGGTCTTCAGGAAACAAGGCAAAAATAGTCAGGGTAGAATCAGACAGTGAGAGTGAAACTTGCTTCCAGGACAGTAAAAGCAACGTGAGGCAAAGCTGTAAGGGGCTAAGACAGAGTAAGAGCGGGCTGTAGGCAGTAAGTGCTCATGAGCTTGGATTGGCATGTATACCATCTTAGTCTTCAGCCTAATGATTGCATCCTATGATTCCAACAAGAATGGTAAGTGCTTCTCTAGCCTAATATGCTGGAACATCCAAAAGGAAGCCTAGAAAGCATTTGGAGTCTCTTCCATCAGATAGGGGTGTAGCCAATACCCAACAAGTTGTTCTTGCAGAAGTTACCCCACGTATCTTGGCGTTAAGCCAAGGGAGACATCTGTGTGTCTCATGAGACATCTTCAGGAGCGTGGTGCTTTCTTCTTCCTTGCTTACATGGATAACATAAAGACATGGTCGACAGCGGCACTGTGAGCCGGTACCACCGTTTTGTGATTGGCCTTATCTAGAGCCCTCAAATTCATGACCCCTCCGGAGATGTTACCTTCATTTCTCAGGTGGTACCCTCACGTAGTTTAAATGGAGATGGTGAGGGGGGGTGGGGGAGCTGAGGGAAAGGTGATATGGGGATGGCACTGTTTGCTACTCTTTGGTAATTGTTGACTGACTTGAGGATTTTTGTTTGTTTTGTGCTGAGGCGGGAAAGACAGCTTCAGGATACTGGGCAAGTGCTTGACCACTGAGCGCTATCCCAGTCCTGGTAGTAACTGTGTATTTGAAATATTATTTTTCAGAGTTTCTTAAACATTTCTTCTCTAAAATTAGCTAGCTGGAGGTCAAGACAAAATAGAATAAGGTGTAGCAATGGCACACTTAGGCAAATTAAGATGATTCACATCTGTAATTTTAGCACTTGAGGATGGAGGCAGGAGGATTGAGATCAGAACAGAGCCAGCCTGGGCTACAGAGTGAAATACACTTTTTTTTTTTTAAGCAGCTGAAGCTGAATGGGATAGAGAATGCTCTTTTTAAATTTTTCATTAGATTTATTCATTTTATTTTGTGTGTGAATGTTTGGCCTACTTGTATGTCTGTGCACCACATACACACCTGGTGCCGCTGGAGGGAGGGGAAAGCACCAGATCCCCTGGAAACAGTTAGGAATAATTCTGAGCCACCATGTGGGAGCTGGGGACCAGACTCTAGTTCTCCGCAAGAGCAGCTGGCGCCCTTCACCCCTGAGCACTTCCTCTAGCCACTAGAGCACGCTTTTAATCTCAGCACTTGGAAGGCAGAGACAGGTAGCTCTCTGAATTCAAGGCCAACCTAGTCCATATAGTAGTTCCAGGCCAGCCAGAGCTACATAGTGAGACCCTACCTCAAAAGAAAATTTCAAAAAGGAGAGAGAGAAAAAATTCCACACCCTGTGAGTCATACCACAAACCATAAATAACTATGGTCTGTGGAAATCTATAGAGCACCTACATCCAAGGAAATACAGACTAAACCTTAAAGGTTCTCTCCTTAACAAAGCAGGCAGAAACAGGGCAGTAGTAGTACATGCCTTTAGTCCCAGAACTTAGGAGGAAGAGAGGCAGCTCTGAGTTCAAGGCTACCCTGGTCTACAGGGTACTTTTCAGGACAGCCAGAACTACACAGAGAAGCCCTGTCTTGAAAAGGAAAAAAAAAAAAAAAAAAGAAAGAAAGAAAAAGAAAAAAAGACAGCAGGAGGCAGATAGAAAAAGAGAAGACAAAAACAAACTTTTTCTTTTTTCATTTTTTTTTTTGAGAAAATAAACATTTTAAAAGCGAATGGATGGGTTATTTTTTTCCATTAACTTAGTAATTACATCCCTTTCACTTTTCTTGCTTTCAGAAAGAATACACTGGTACTCAGTTTTCTTTATAATGGGGCAATTCCTACTTAAATGTATTTAACTATGTGTTTTATAGTCTCTTTCAGAGACTATTTGATCTCCCCAGTTCTGTTTTATACACAGGAACTTTATTCTTTGGTCTCTTTTCATGTCTCAGAATTCAAAAAAGAGAGAACCTAGTAAATTCTGACCCATTTTCCTTCCTAGACCTGAGAAAGAGCAGCTGCCTCGTGGAACAGCTGCCTAGCTTCTTTCCAAAGAATGTGAGGAGCAACAAGGATTTGGTAATAAGAGGTAGGGAATGGAGATCATTCTGGAAAACCACTTTTTGCCATCCCAGGATTTTCCTTTTATTAACCTTTAAAAGATGCCTTATCTCTGCACTTCTTACAGATCTCAAATAGCATCTCAAATGGTATGTTAAAGAAACATATCTCCTCAGGAGAATAACTGGAAATGAATTTCTATATTAATTTGTTGCCTAAAATATGCCTGTATCAATCAGGTGCAGATGAAGAAAGAAAAGCATATGGTACTCAGCCATCTCTGTATTTAAGAAAACAATCTATGAGCATTTCTCTGTGGTAAATTTACTTCAGGAAGAGAAACAGAACCTGCACAGTTAGTACCATAAACACAGACGGAAAAGGAAGCGAACCAAGGGAGGGCAAAGTGCAGCTATGGGGTTTAACAGGAGTCATGAATAAAAGTGGGTTATCTGGGCATTGCAGATCAAGAGCCAGCTCTGTTTTTTCTGTTTAGTTCTTCCAGAAATTCACACAGACATCAAAGAGGCTGTAGTCATCCAAAATCAGACTCTAGCTACCCTGCAGTGCCTCAACTCCAGGAGGAGTGTGAGAGTCCACCTTGTATATTCAGAGAGAAGGCCAAAGGTCAAGTATACTCTGAAGAACATGGCAGTCACTGCTGACCCCCACAGAAACGGCACTCCGTCCCCAAGCTGCCAGCTCATGCCCACATCCCAGTTTCAGAACGGATTCATTCTAAGAGGTAAAGTGAGATCAGATGGCTGATAGAGGTGGGTTGGCACCAACTTTCAGCTGACATCCTTGGTGGCCAGTGTTTATTTAGTAGCAGCCAAAGGCACAATGAAACATACTGTTCTCCTTTTGGGAAAAATCAGTGTTCTCTCTGAGAACCAGTTTTCTAATTCCTTTAACGAGAATTTGAAATTATACCTATATGTTTATTCATTGTGTGTGCACACACACACACACACACATGTGGACATATACGGAGGTTAGAGGACAACTGAGGACACCTTTGGGAGTCACACCAAACTTAGGTCTTCAGTTTTGGTGGCAAATAATTGAAATTCACTGGCTCCAGGACCCATATTTCTAATTTCTAAAACCCTTTAGCTCTAGTATTCTGTGACATTTATTATATATATATATATATATATATATATATATATTTTTTTTTTTTTTTTTTTTTTTTTTTACACAAGTTCTTATTATGTATCCCTGGTTGGCCTAGAACTGCTAATGTAGACCAGGCTAGCCTCAAATTTACAGCAACTTATTTTCTTCTGCCTCCTGGATGCTGAAATTAAAAGTGAGCACCACTGTGCTGGTGGGTGGGTCTTCTTTTAACAATACTTTGTGGGCTAGGTAAGGGGTATAGTCCTTTAATCTCAGCACTCAGAAGGCAGAGGCAGGCAGATCTCTGTGAGTCTAAGGCCAGCCAGGACTACATCGTGAGTTCCAAAACAGCTAGAGCTACACAGAGAGAACCTGTCCCCAAAAAACAAAAATAAAAAAAAAAACCACAGTATTTTGTGAATTTTGTTTATTTTTAGTGCACACAGTGAAATATACAAACAGCACATATATAGTGAAAAGTAATTCTCCCTCCTTCTCCTGCCTCTCAACCCTTCAGTCTCCTGTCCCTGGGGACAGAAGAAACCATTATTACCTACTGTATCCCTTCTCTCTCTCTCTCTGTCTCTCCCTCTCTCCTCCTTGTTCCCTCCTTGGAGACAAGGTTGCACATAGTCCAGGATGGCCTCTATTGCTATGTATCTAGAGCTAGCCTTAGATACTAAAGCTCCCCTCTCTTCCTCCCATGTGCTGGAATTACAGACACATTCTTTCTGTCAGGTAGTTTCTAATCAGTAGATTAGTATAGGAAGTTGCCCCTTTGCAAAAGGCAATCATTTAGACTCTGCTGCTGTACTGTCAGGAAAATGACACTCAACACTTAGAGAAACTGGGGGGTAGAAGGATCGAGCAGAATGAAGGTGAAATAAACATTTAAAATCCACACTAGAAACAGAAATAAGGGGGCAGACATGGTCTCAGGATATGACACAAGAGTTACATGATTCGGATGTTTCATTCACTTTATTATGCTTAAAAAAAAATCTAGGGCTGGAAAGGTGCCTCAGTGGCTAAGAGCACTTAACCACTTCCTGAGGTTTTGAGTTCAATTTGCAGCACCCATAGGTGGCTCACAACCATCTATAATGAGATCTGATGCCCTTTTCTGATATGCATGAAGATAAAATGCTCATATACATAAATGAATAAATATATATATTTTTAAAATCTACCAGTAAAACCAAAAAGCCAAAACAAAAACACCCAGGCATGGTAGAGCACACCTTTAATCCCATTATACAACATACCAAGTTTGAAGCCAGCTTGGGCTATATGCGGTGCTGTTTAAAAAAAAAAAAAAAGAATTAACTAGTTAAACTGTACCACTGATAACAGATGGGAGGGCCCTTAAAAACCCAAACCTCACTCACACCCTGCTTGAACCAACCACAGTACTGGCCTTAAGTCATTTTCCAGTCTGCAGTTCTCTGAGTGGTGCTATATTATGCTATATGCTATGGGACCCGAGGTAACTAAGGACATTAGCTGTTAGAAATTCTGAACCAGGAAAACTGGGGTTTAAGGAGGAGGAGAGGGAAGAAAGATGTTAAAGATCTACCTGCCCTGTTGAAAATATTTGCCTTGGGGGTGGCCTCCAGTTTTTGAGCGCCTTCCAGGAGGAAGACTCTTCCTCCTCCCAGATGCTTGCTGAAGGCAGAGGTTCTGAGATCTGGAATCTGAGCCAGGACCCTATTTGAGCCACATGAAGAGACCATGTAGATATATATTGGTTAGTTCAGTCCTAATCACCATTCACCACATAGTTCTATGAAACCATGATGCCAAATCTCAAACAACTATCTTAAATGGACTTTTGAAATGAACTTTCTCTCAGAGTCTGAAGATGCCTATTTGGAATTTAAACCACATTAAATCACCAAGATGTGGTAGATCTCAATTAAGTTAGAAATAAAAGCTAGGTAAATGGTCAGACTTAGAAAGAAAGATACAGGAGAGATGCATTCTGGAGTTGCTACTCTGGATGACGTCAGTCAGCAGAGGAAGGGGTCTAAATACAATTAGACCACATCAATGAAAATATCCTCAAAGTAAAGTATTGGAATTGTAAGGATGAGAACTTTCCACAACACAGATGGTTATCACAAGACATGGGCCAAACAAGAAAGGTAGAAAAGAAACGTAAGATAGGGGCAGAGGCCACAGCCTAGTTGATAGAGTGAACACCTCTAAGCTGCTTTTGGTCAGGGAGTCTTCTCACAGCAACCGTGGCAAGCAGTTATAATACTGTTTGTATTTCCTGTTCTTATCCCTCAGATTTTATATTTAGAAGCTTTCCAATTACCTATCAGGTTTCAGATTTCATAGGGACCTATCTGTTTTGTTTTGTTTTGTTTTGGGGGGGGGTAAGATTGTTTTCAAGATAGGGTTTCTTTGTGTAGCCCTGACTGTCCTGGAACTCACTGTGTAGACCAGGCTGGCCTCAGACTTAGAGATCTGCCTACCTCTGCCTCTCAATTGCTGGGAGACCTGTTTGTTTTTAACGGGGCACAAGAAAGATAAAACTCCCTGTCTGGTTTTGCTTTGTTTTGTCTTTTTGAAACTGGCTCTCATGTATGCTAACTCACCATGTAGCTGAACATAAGCCTGAACTCCTGATTCTCCTGCCTCTACCTCTTGACTGCTGAGAGTAAAAGTGTGCACCACCACACACGGCCATTTCATCCAGTTGATAATTATTCTCTAGTTCGTTTGTTTGTTGAAACCTGTGTAGCCTTGGCTGGCCTGGAACTCACTTTGTAGACTGATCTGGCTTCAAACTTACAAAGATTGACTTGTCTCTGAGAGCTTCCAAGTGCTGAATTAAAGGTATGCCCAGTCACATCTGACAAATATTTTCTTGTGTGATTTTTTTTTCCTTTCCTTCTTTTGTTTCGTTGTTTTGTAGAGACAGGATTGTTCTCTATATAGCTCTGGCTGTACTGGAACTGGCTCCATAGACCAGGCTGGCCTCAAACTCAGAGATCCACTTCCTTCTGCCTCCCAAGAGCTGGGATCAAAGGCATGCACCACCACTGCCTAGAGGAAATAAACTGTGTTTTCAAACCTGTTCCACCTTGATGTTCAGTTACCTCATAGATAAGACCTAAAAGAGATGACCTGCCAACACAAATGAACATTAAATCAGAGGACTAAGAACACACTGAGAGATGATGCCTAGTCAGTAGACATTTAAGTCACATTTCTCGGGAGGGTGAATACAGGCCATATCTGTCTGTGCCATTATCCCTGTGGCTACACAGCAGAGTTCTTCTGCTTAGACAGACAATCTCTAGGCTTTCCCTATCTTTCAGTCCAAGTACACTCAGCCTGCAAAGTGTTTTCATACCTTCTTTCTCATTTTTATTTGTTTGTGATCTTTACAACACCCCTGAGAAATAAATACAGCAAGTATTTTTTTATTACAACCATATTACAAACAGGGAAACCAAAACTCAGAAATTATGTAACTTGTCCAAAGTGAGTTTTTATCTTCAAATATGCATGCTACTATTTAAGAGAACTGACTGCAGCCAGGTGGTTGTAGCACACACCTTTGATCCCAGCACTTGGGAGGCAGAGGCAGGTGAGGTGGTTCAAGGCTAGCTTGATCTACAGAGCAAGTTCCAGGACAGCCAGGGATACAAAGCAAAATCCTGTCTTGAAGGAAAATAAAACCAAAAACCTAAAGACAAGCAATGATAAGAAACCAGGTAAAATGGAATAAGGGCCCACAAAATGGCTCTGAATATGAAGGAGCTTGCTGCCCAATGATGCAAACCTGACAACCTGAGGTAGAAGGTAGAAGGTGAGACCCACCCTCACAAAGTTGAACTCTGACCGCCATAGGGACACCTTGGTACGCCCCACCCCTAGTGGATAATAAGATTTGAAATGGAATAAAAGATTAAGTTTAGTCACACACCTAGAACCTCAGCAGTTGAGAACCTGAGGTGGAAGTCTCTCTTCATTTATGAGGCCAGTCTGGGTATGTAGGGAGTTCAATGCTAGTAATGGACTCCTCCATAGTCACAGCCTGTCTTAAATAAAAAGGGGTTAGGGTTTAGAGAGAAATAATCACCACCTGCCTCAAAAGAAAAAAAAAAAAGTAATAACCTCCTCCCTACAGAAGGTCATTCTTTAGATCAAAACTTTGCAACAAATCCTTATTTCCGAAGCCTGTACCTTGTCACATGGAGCCTAGAGCCTGTATCCTGCCCCTCTGAATTTCCTCCCTTGTTCCTCCATGCTGGTGGCTGGCAGACTCACTGCTTCCCTACAACCGTAACATGTCAGCACACCCTGCCACGGGTGCTTCATTCCCACTGTTCCCTTTACCTAAGCTGCGCTCTCAAGTCTCCACTCAGTTCTGCCCTCAAGGAGCCTGACTGTACCACAGGCTGCCCAACTATTACCTATGAATAGTCTGCAAACTTTATTTTGCAGGGTTTATGGTTGTTGTTGTTATTGGTTTTGGATTTTAAAGATTTTAGTTTCTGTATGTTTGCCTGAATGTATGTATGTATGTGTACCACATGTATATGGATGCCAGTAAAGGCTAGAAATGGGCTGGAACTGAAGTTATAGACAGTTGTGAGTGGTAGTTAGGAGGGTGGAGGTGGGCAGTAAACCCAGGTCCTCTACAAAAGCAGCAAACGCTCTGAACCACCAAGCCATGTCTCCCATCCCTAAATTTGACTTCTAAGACAGAGTCTTATACTAACTGGCTAGGAAATCACTCATTAGCCCTGGATGGCCTTGAGCTCCTGGCAATCCTCCTGCTTTAGTGTCACCAGTGCTGGGATTACAGGTATGAGCTGCCACAACTGGCTTCTTGTTCTGGGGGACTTTTTTGTTTGTTTTGTTTTCGTTTTGTGTGTGTGTGTGTGCGTGCGTGTGTGCTCGCGCGCATCGGAGAGACAGCCTTTCTCAGTAGCCCTGGTTGTCCTGGAACTCACTATGTAGACCAGGCTTGACTCTGCCTCCTGAGTTCTGGTATCAAAAGGTGTGTGCCACTACACCCAGCTCTAGTTTTACTATTTTAAGCAGCACTTATCCTAATAAACAGTAACTTTTTTTTGAGGCAGTGTCATGCTAATTAGCTGCAACTAGCTTGGTACTCACTATGTAGTCCATGCTGACCTTGAACTCACAGTCATCTTCCTGCCTCAGCCTCCTGAGTGCTGGGACCAACTATAGACATGTGCCACTACACCCAGCCATGAAATGTACTATAGTCATTGTTGTTCCTGCTTCCTCTGTCCGGACCCCTGACTTCTTTGCTCTCTTGCTATTATGAACCCAACTGATATAAAGTATTGAGGCAGGGCCTGGCATATAATAGACACTGGCTTTTGAACATTAAATGGATGAAAGTGAGAACATGAAGCTGGGTGCCTTTCTGTCTTCTAGTTCCTCTTGCTTTCTTCACTGTCTTCTCAGAGTAGTTGACTGGGCTCTGCTAAACAGACCTCCAGCAGTCATTCACACATTTTGCATTTCATGTTCTTCCCTGGACTTTGGAACCACCTCTATTAATGAAGGGAATTCTCAGTAGTGTTACACCCTCCGCCTTTATTATTATTAATGACGGAAAGAGTGACAGGCAAGCAAGATACAGTCCCTTCCTTCTCTCTGACCCTAGTCAAAGGCCTCCTAGGGAATTAACCTATATCTCTTTTTAGCATCTCCGGCCTCATTTATTCTTAGCATTGTTCTGTGCCTACACCTAAACCCTATGAACATACAGGTCAATGGGGCCACAGTTAGAAATGTAGTATGGAGTGAGCAGAGGTAGGGCTTTATCAGGCACAGCCAAAGCAGGCTGATGCTGTCCTGCAGCTGATGCTGTCCTGCAGCGGCTTCTTTGTTGTTTTGTAGCTTTTTTGCCAGGGATCTCTCGATGCATGGCATACCCAGCGAAGGGCAGATCTGCCTCATCAGAGATGGAGCCTATCACTACCACCTCTACAACTCCTAGAAGTGAAGGACAGAAAACTACAAGCACTGGAACTTTTCCCATCCCTTTGACACAAGGTACAAATTAAGTAGGGATAAAGCAAGAATAGGAAGAAAAGGAGACATCTTGACTCCAATATTATGCTGGGTCTCCTAGAAATTTCCTGGAGGTTGAACAGTTATTTTGTATTTAAAAAATTGTTTTGCCGGGCAGTAGTGGTGCATGCCTTTAGTCGCAGCACTCAGGAGGCAGAGGCAGGTGGATCTCTGAATTTGAGGCAAGCCTGGTCTACAGAGTGAGTTCCAGGATATCCAGGAATACACAGAGAAACCCTGTTTTGAAAAAAGAAAGTGAAAAAAAAAAGAAAAAAGAAATTGTTCCATGTTTTAATGGGGGAAAATTTTTTCTCCATAGGAAGTTCCCAAAAACATCCGTAGTTTGGCACAATTAATGATCCTTTGCCTTGGGGATGGAGAGATGGCTCAGTGATTAAAAGCCATCTTGTTCATGCCTTGTAGAGGACTCAGCTTTGGATCCCAGGATGGACGTCAGGTAGCTCAAAGCCACCTGTAATTCTAGTTCCAAAGGATCTGATGGCTCCTGGCATCTGAGGGCACATACATGCATATGGTGAACATAAAGTCACAAGGAACTCACCTATACACATAAATAAAAAGAATAAATCCCCGTTTTTTTAAAAATAATAACCCCTTACTTCCATGAAAGTGAACTTACCCTGTAGCCAGATTTGGAGACAGACTAAATCCAACTGGTACATGATACCAGCCACTTGTGTGTATAGATGTATAATATTTAAATATTAAGCAATCATGAACAGAGATGACACCAACCAACCACATGATTTCATCTTCACTGTTTTGAAAAATAGCCCTTCCTAAATTGACCAAGACTCAAATTCTGTAAGATTCAAGTTTGGGTTGTCTTACTGGTATGAACAGCCTTGGTTTATTCCAGTAGAAAACTAAATATGAGATTAGTAATAACACAATAAATATGAGTCTCTTGCCCTGGATTTGGCTTATGACTCAAAAGCAATGACAATTAACCTTTGTTCTTCCTATGTATTCCTAAAACCAAGAGAGGAAAGGTGATGTTTGGTTTTGTTTCTTTTTGAGACATGGTCTCACTATGGAGCCATGGCTAGCCTGGCTCTCATTAAATAGACTAAGCTGATCTTGAACATAGAAACCTGCCTGCCTCTGTCTCCTGAGTGCTAGGATGGAAGGTGTGTGTATTTGTATTTATTTTTCTTTTTTCAGTGCAGATGGGGCTTTTTTGCTTTTTTAAAAGATTTTATTTTATTTATTTATACAGCATTTTGCTTCCATGTATGTGCCTACACACCAGAAGAGGGTACTAGATCTCATTATAGATGGTTGTGAGCTACCATGTGGTTGCTGGGAATTGAACTCAGGACCTTTGCAAGAGTGGCAAGTGCCCTTAACTGAGCCATCTCTCCAGCCCTTTTTCCTTTTTTTTTTTAAGGTTGAGAACTTCAAGAGGACAAACTGGCTGGGAATTATGTGCAGCCAAGCTTTCAGAATCAGCATGCATGACAATAGAGAATCCCAATTCTTAGGGAAGGTGGCTCTTTCATGAAAAAGGCTAGAGAGAAGCCTATGATGTCACTTCTGAACCCCAAATGGAAATTCAGTTCTGCCTCTGAGTAAGGCTGTCCTTGATTAGTCTGTGAGCAAGGAAACCTTCAAGTCCAGGTGAGCCTTGCTCATGATCTCTTTTCTCCCCCTCCATTCCTCTTTCCTTTTAGACACCGATATGTACCTAAAGAAGAGGCAGCAATGGAGCATTGTAATCAAGGCTCTGATTGCTGCTACTCTGCTGCTCAGTGGCGTCATCATTATAGTATTTGTCATCTTTGAAGTTCCATGCCCGGTAAGTTTGCTGATGTATACTGATGTACTGAGTCCCAGGCTTCATCAATAAAGGCTGTCTTCTGTTGGAGAGGCAGTATAGCAGAAGGAAAGCAAACATTAGCTATGGTTTGGGGAAAATTGCTTTCACTTCTCCATTCCTACAGCTACCTTATCTGTCATGTAGAACTCTTGACATTTGCTTTACTTGTGGCTGTGGAAGTTAACTGGGATACATCCTATTTGAAAGGCACCCATCACATCGAAGGTGTGTCATCTGTACACATACACACACACACACATGCGCACACGCGCGTGCGCGCGTTTTTCTGTGTAGCCCTTGGCTATCCTAGAACTCACTCTGTCAACTAGGCTAACTTCAGTCTCAGAGATCCAGAGATCCGGTTGTTTCTGCCTTCCTTGGGTTAAAGGAGTGTGCCACCACTGCCAGGCTCAAAAGTTCTCTCTCTCTCAAATTATTTATTTTTATTTTATGTGTGTTGGTGTTTTGCCTGCATGTATGTCTGTGTGAATATGTAAGATCTTGGAGTTACAGACAGTTGTGAGCTGCCACGTGGGTACTGGGAATTGAATCTGCGTCCTCTGGAAGAGCAGTCAATGTTCTTAACCACTGTGCCATCTCTCCAGCCCCCTCAAAGGTTCTCTCTTCTTAATGTGAACTCTTTACCCTCCACTCTCTAGAAGTGTAGTTCTAGAGTCGTCCTTAGAGATGAGGAATTTTTTTCTAGAATCATAGAACTTGGGAGATGGGGAGCAGACCAGAAATTCCAGGCCAGCCTTGCCTATACTGCAAATCTGACACCAGCCAAATTACCCGATAGATAGATAGATAGATAGATAGATAGATAGATAGATAGATAGATAGATAGATAGAAGAGTGGAAGTCGCGTGATTGGGGGCGGATAAGAAAATAAAGTATTCTTTCTTTTAAATGGTTTGACATGAGGTTTGGAAGATAATCAACATGTATCAGTCATTCTTTCTTCAGAGTCCATGCCTCAGAGTCAGACGGCTGTGCCAATGCCACAGGCTATGGAGAAGGAAAATGAAGGAAGACCAGCAATCTGGGACAAATGAGTCCCACCTGGACTCTCAGCCTGAGAAGGGAAGTATTCTCTGTAGAGTTTATGCCATCTGTTTAGAGAAAACAATGTTAATGTGTAACTGGTGGGATGTAGGGAAAAGTTTCCGTTATAAAGTGAATGTAATAAATTATTCTGTGTCAAAAAACTGGACAGATGTGGTTGCACAAGCCTTTAATCCCAACAACCCGGAGGCAGAGGCTGAGGCAGGCAGATCTCTGAGTTCAGCCCAGCCTGGTCTACAGAGTGAGTTCCAGGCTAGGGGAAAAAAAGTTATTTGGCTGGGTGTGGGAGTATACAACTATAATCCTAGCACTTTGGATGTGGAGGGAGAATCAATAGTTCAAAGTCAGCTTCATCTTCAGCTTTAGAAGTTTTGGCCACCCTGGGCTACAGGATACCATCTAAACAAAAACAAAGAAATGAGGGGGAGGAGAAGGAGATAAATGAAGAGGAGGAGAGGAGGAAAAGAGGAGAGGAAGAGGGAGGAGGAAGAGGAAGAAAGACAAAAGCAGGGAAGAAAAGGGAAGAAAGAAGGAAGCTGGGGAGACGGAAAATACTTATTTCTGGGACCCAAACAGACTTAATCAGAATGTCTAGTGTCTAGAGTGGGACCGGGAATCTTCAGTATTTTTTTAAAAAGATATTTATTTATTTCACATTTGTGAGTGCTTTATCTGCATGTACACCTGTATGCCAGAAGAGGGCATCAGATCCCAGTATAGACGGGTTGTGAGCCACTATGTGGTTGCTGGGAATTAAACTCAGGACCTCTGGAAGGACAGACAGGGCTTCTAACTGCCAAGCCATCTCTACAGCCCAGGAATCTTTATTATTAAGATGGGTTCTCACTATGTTAAAGTGAGACTATCCTCAATTCTTTTTTCTTTTTAACCTCGTCATCCTCCTGCCTCAGCTTTTTAAGAAGCTTGGAATACAGACTTATGATACTATGCTTTTTATTTATTTATCTATTGCTTTGTTTTGTTTTAAGACTGTGTTTCTCTGCATAGCCTTGGCTGTCCTGAACTGACTTTGTAGACCAGGCTGGTCTTGAACTCAGTGATCTGCCTGCCTCTGCCTCCCTGAGTGCTGGGATTACAGGTGTGTGCCACCGCACCAGCTTTATCCTTAAAGTTTTAACAAGCTCCCTAAGGCGGCTGGAGCAGGGGCCTCAGAGGTTAAGAGCAGTTCTTACTACCCACACAGCATGACTCACAACTACCTTGTAACCCCAGTTCCATGGGTTACAATGCCCTCTTTTAGCCTTCTTGGGTACAAATATGATGCATACATAGACAAGCAACCACCCACATGTAAATATAAATTTTAAAACAAGCTCTATAAGCATAAGTAGACTTATGGCGAAATTAATCCTTCAGGTCCCATGGACCTTGACCAAGGTTTGTATCCAGTGTTCTAAGTTTTACATTTCTTTTTTGTTTGTTTGTAAGATCTTTAGCATTATAACATGTATGCTCACTCTGGGTAACTTTCAGATACAGCAATGTTTACCATCTGTTATACTTCAACCCAGTTTAAGGACTTGGCAAAGCAACTTTCATTCTCCTTATCTTGGGTTTCCTGACAAGATTATAAATAGTGGCTTTTGGTGTCTGAACTGACACTTCAGGGCTGATTCACCAGGGCTGCTCCTAATCCAGACTCTCAAGCCAGGTGTAGACTCAGCTTTGGAATAGTAGACAGTGATAAATGGACACTTTCCCGGAGACATCCAGACACTCACTAAGGTAAACAGACAAGGTATTCCCAGGGCATCATAGTAAGACTGTCTCGAAAACAAATAAACAAAATCACCCATCAAACAAACAGCCACTCCCCGACACTAAACTAAACAAGGTAAAATTTATAGGCCGCACAACCCTATGTTCCCAGCACTTGGGAGATGGAGGCAGAAGGATTAAGAGTTCAAGGCAGTCTCCACTATATAGTGACATAGCTTGATATTCAAGAGACCCTGTCTCAAAAAGAAATAGTCACTACTAAGACCCCAAAATCTCTGTCTACATCCCTGCCTCTTAAACACATAATGAGATCCTTTGGGTTTGCTCCAAGGACTGAGGTGGAATTCCTGTGCATATGGGATCTAAAATAGCTGCACACTCAGGGCATTTTCCATTCAAGGAAACTTGGTCAAGGAAGAGGCGAGGCCAGGTGATGGTGGCGCACACCTTTAATACAGCACTCAGGAGGCAGAGGCAGGAAGATATCTATAAGTTTGAGGCCAGGCTACACAGAGAAACCCGGTTTTAAACAAAACAAAACAAAAGCAGTGTGTGGGGGATGCTGGGCATTCTGCTAGTGATTTGTGTGGTGTTCACATATTCTCAGAACAACTGCTGGGCAGCAAAGAGGCAAACTCCGGTGTGCTTGATTTATGCGGGGCTTTCTCCTCCGAGACCCCTTGCTGATTCAGCTCATCCGCACCCTCATTTACCTTTCATGTATCCTTTCCATCTTTAGGTTGTTCCTAACTCTTCAGACTCAAACAAAACTCCAGGCATCACCATAATCCACCAGACATACTTCTGAGTTCTGCCTCACCGCACTCTGACTGCAAGGGATGTCTTCCACACCAACGTCTCCTTATAGCGAATCAGACACATGTCTTCACAGGGACATTATCATCAAATGAGATGCCAGGACACTGAAGGCAGACCCTGGGTTGAGCAGATCTACCCTCATGCCACTGCAGCTGACACAGCCATAAGCTCTGTGATTCACTTTGTACATCCACAGCCAGGTTCTCCTTCCATCCCAGCAATGAAGATGAAGTCCTTGCCTCCAGGCGTTAAGGAAGGGATGTGGCGCTTGCTCTGATGAAAGACTAACGCAGCCTCCCAAGATCTGAAGCTGATAGGGTGGTACATTCCAACTCCTCCCTTACTCTCCCAGCTTCTTTGTGCTCAGAGGATGTCCACCAGGGGCACCTGCCCGCCCAGGGCTCATGATTTATGATTTAGCCTGTCGGTATATACACAGCTATCAACAGCCTGGTAAAGGGAACCCAGCCTTAAGATTCCCCAAAGCCCTTCTTAATAAGTCATTCCTACAGTGTTTCAGGAGAGCAGAAACACAGCATTCGAATGAAACCTGAAAGTTTAAAATTCCTAAAGTAGATCTGATGTTATGCTTTTTTTTCTTCTTCTTTTCTGGCACTGTAATTTGGACCAAAGTCCTCACACCGCAAATGCCCTACCTCTGAGCTATATAGTAAGCCCTTTTTGTAAAAGTAACTTTTACTTTGAGACAGGGTCGCACCAGGTTACCATGACCTGGAACTCTCTGAGTAAGCCTTGATCTTTCAGCTCTCTTGCTTCATTCAGCCTCTAAGAGGAGCTGGCAATACAAGAGTGCACCATCAGGCCTGCCTATGCCTTATTTAATTTTTGTTGTTGTTTTGGTTTTCAAGACAGAGTTTCTCTGTGTAGCATTAGCTGTCCTAGACTCTTTTTGTAGATCACAGAGATCCACCTGCCTCTGCCTTCCTAAATGCTGGGATTAAAGGTGAGCACCACCACCACCTGGCAATACCTTACTTAACTTTAATTTTTATTTTTTTGAAACAAGATTTTATGTTTGTAGCCTAGGCTGGCCACCAACTTCCTATGTAGCTGAGAATCACCCTGAACTCCTGACCTTCCTGCCTTCACCTCCTGGCTAGGCATTGTTTTTACCAAACACTTCAATGCAACTGCCAACGAGTCCTCATATGCCAGCATATGAGCTGCATATAGTTTTGATAAGGACTCCAGCACAAAATGATTATAAGATAATCCCTCCCACAGGGGCACAGCTATGAATAAACTGCTTAAATAAGAGTTCAGTGAGGGCTGGGCAGTGGTGGCACATACCTTTAACCCCAGCACTCAGGAGGCAGAGGCAGGAAGAGGCAAGCAGATGTCTGAGTTCAAGGTCAGCCTTGTCTACAGAGTGAGTTCCAGGACATCCATGGCTACACAGAGAAACCCTGTCTTGACAAGGAGGGGGGGGGAGTTCAATGAGAAAGCAGAAATAGGGACTGAAGCAACTGAAGTAATGAATGGTGTTGTCCTGTCTCTTACCCTACGACTGTAAAACCACTCCAACTGCCAAATGTTCTTTCTTCAAATACATATTATTCCATATATAAATATATATGTTATGTGTATGTAGGTCCAAGGATGACTTTTAGCTCATGATCTTCCTGCCTCCCACTTCCCTTGCACTGGGATTAAAACCATGTGTCACCAGGCCTGGCAAGTCATTCTGTTTGCTTAGTTCTCTAGAAGACGGTGCACAAAGTCTAACCTTCCTCCTTCCACTTTAAGTACTGTTCCCAACACAATTCTTTAAAGTGTACTAACTAAGCAGGGAACAGGCTGAGCCAAGAAGAAAGGACCAACACAAAGCAATGGTGAGTCAGTTTCCTGGAAGAGCTGAAGAACCTCTCAAATTCCACAGAACACACTCTCAGCAGACAGAGGACAAAAGACTGTGTGTGGTGTTGGAGGTGTGAGTGGATCATCTGCACCTACTAGGGATTCAAAGCATCGCCTCAAGTTTATCTGACATCTGTTATTTCACTTGACTGTATACTTGAGCAAGAAATGACTGCTCTTTCCCAGGTCTAGAGTATTAAAAAGAGTCTATTTGATCCTAGGATTAATGCCAGCAACCATCCCTACCCTCACCCACAACAGAATGTCCCATAACCCGGAAACACGAGATTTCCTAGAAGATGAAATGGCTGAGTCTTTGCTCATCGGTTTGTTCCTCTGCAAGAGTAAAATCTGGGTAGCATCTGTACTGACTTCCTTCATGGAAATTGACTCGGTCAAAACTGTGCATTTTGTCTGGAGACAGTTGTCTTCCTAAGGATTTCACTACCTAATCAGTTAACAGCTTTGAACCACTCCCCCCACCCCCCGGTTGGAGGGAGGATTTTAAAAACCAGGAGATGAGAGAGAGAGAGAGAGCAGAGAAGAAGGGGGAACTCCTGTGTGGACTTTGGGATGTGGACTTCGGTCTGCAGATTGCTCCAGAGTCAGACACAAATGCTCGGGTCATCATTTTAGATGATGCTCTTATAAAACACTTCAGTGTAACTGCCAATGAGCCCTCTGCCTGCTGCCAAATTTCCGTTGAGAATTCTTTCTCATTAAAATATCATATATTGTTTTTCTGATTACAACAGTGCATTCTCATTATCAAAATTTATAGAAGATGATTGAAAGTGTAAAGGAATATAAGAATAATAGTTACATTTAATCTCTTCTTCCACAGGTGACCAGTAACACTGATACTACTTTTGTAGGCATTATAAATATATGTACATATGAAAAGAGACATAGCATATCACTCTCCATACTACTTTTAACCTGATGCCCTTTTCTTCCACTAATACATTACCATCATTTTCCAATTACCACACCAACTATCCTGTGTTTATTTTCAGTTTTAAAGTCTTCCTTCTAAAGGATCTGTACGGCCTGGGTACCTTTTGTTTTGTTTTGCTGGACAAGGTCTCAAGCAGCCCAGCTCTGAGTTCACAATGTAGCTGAGGTCAATCTTGACCTTCTGATTTATTTTCTCTCTCTGGCTCCTAAGACGGTGGTATACATCACCCGACCTGGATAATATCCCCTCTCACTCTGCAGCCCAGGCTGATCTGACCTTACTATGTGGACTAGACTGTTATGGTCCTCTTGCCTCAGCTTCCCAAGGCATGAACCAGCTCCCCAAGGCATGAACCAGCTGCTCAGCTTTCCAATACTTTTTGATAGGTCCAAAGATTAAGGCAGATAGTTGCTTGGTGCAAACAAGACAAGTTCACAAAAACCTCCACTTTGAACTTTTGAAGCTATTGCCTAATGACACTGAGTAAATAGCTGTATTTGCAGGGTGTTAAAAGTACTACTTTGAAGCTAGACACGATGGCTCAGACCTCAAAATCCTAGCACTCAGACAGCCAATGCAGGAAGACTGCCATGAATTCCTCCAGGCCAGCATGGACTACATAGTGAGTTCTCTGTCAGCCTTGAGACTCAGAGAGAGCAATGGAATGCTAATAACTGGAAAGCAGAAGTGGGGACTCTTTGGAGAAGAAAGATATCATGGGGTAAAACAGTGAGATTCAACTATCATGCATTTTTGTACGTTAAGCAAAATAATAGAAAATAAAAAGGACTACTAGAAAGGGTTTTATTTTTTCCTAAAAAGGGCTATTTTGTTATACAGAAACATAAAATATAAATATAAACTATAAAGGGCTAGAAAGACTGCTACTTTTCCAGAGGAACTGAGTTTGGTTCGTAGCTCCCACACCAGGCAGCTCACAACCACCTGTACCTCTAGTTCCAAGGGACATGACACCCTCTTCTGGCTTCCACAGATGCCCACACGCATGTGACATTTATTTACAGAGGACTACCCCGTACACACACAAACATTCACATAAATTAAAATAACAAAAATAAATCTAAGATATTATCAACACTTAAATATATATAAATTTTTTCTACATTTTGCCATTTCTTCCTTTTCAGATTTACTTAATGTGCACATGTGTTTTGTCCTTATGTACGTACATGCACTATGTATGTCTGGTGCCTGTGGTTGTGAGCTGACAGCTGGGTCCCCTACAAGAGCAACAAGTGCTCTTCCCTGCTGAGCCATCTCTCCAGTCCCCACCCATTTCCTCATTTTTTAGCTGTAACTGTGACCGAATCAAAACTGACCAAGCTGGTTGTGGTGGCACATGCTCGTAATCCCTCTACTGAGGTAACTGAGGTAGGAGACTTGCCATGAGTTTGAAGCCAGCCTGGACTACACAGTGCAAGACCTGCCTGTGCTATATAGAGTGTCTTTACCTCAAACAAACAAACAAAAAGTCAAATTGAAGTAGGATCCTGGATACTTGGAACTTCTGACAAGCATTAGTGTTCTTCCTCTCCTGCACTCCAAAGCTATGCATGGGTGGACTTATGGGCGGCGGCAGCGCTAATCCCTCTCGACCCCCACTTCTGATTTTGGATGTTCTTTAAACCCTACCCAACTGATTCTGACCTAAAGTGTTTCCCTAGCATTTAGATCGAGCTATTTTCCAAGAACACTTACTTATGACAAGGAGCCATAATCCCTTTACCTATTGATGTAACTTGCCTAGGACAGGTTAAGAGTCTGTGCTTGCCAGTCCTGATGAGACCTGATAGGCTAGGGTCAGATTGGAAGGGGAGGAGGACCTCTCCTATCAGTGGACTGGGGAAGGGGCATGGGAGGAAATGAGGGATGGAGGGGGGATTGAGAGAGAATGAGGGAGGGGGCTACAGCTGGGATACAAAGTAAATAAACTGTAAGTAATATAAAAATAAAAATTTAATTAAATTAAAAAAGAGAAATAATAATCAATTATTACTACACACAAGACGGGTACTATTTATTTATCCTTATTTGGAAACAACCAGTTTAAATAATAAGTTTGATAGCATCTAGAATCTTTTTATTTTAATAACATGTACCAGAGACTTAGAATAAACTGCTATCACCTCTTCACTATGGATTAATCTATTAAAATATATTTAAAACTTAAAAAAATAAAGAGTCTATGCTTTCCCCTCCCCTCCCACTCTCAGAATTCTGTTCCCACAGTGGCCCACATGCCGCCTGAGGCTTTGCTATTTCTCTATCACGGGTACTTGCCCTTGAAGTTGGTACTGCCTCCGTGAACTTTAGATTTGCTTTGTGGTAACACACATCACGCTTCTAGCAAACACCTGAATTATATGCTGCTGTCCCACCGTTGAATGTAGAGTTAAGCGTGGCATAGCTCAGCTTGCCCCTCCTCCCCACTTTCCACCTCCCACTCAGTAAAGAAGGTGGAGCCCAGGGTCCTGCACATACCATACAGGTGCTCCACCACCCCCACCGTTCTATGTCTCCAGCCATCTTTTATTTTTACTTTTTGAGACACAGTCTAAGCTGCCCAGGCTGGCTTTGAACTTGTGATCTTCCTGACTCTTGCACCTGAGAAGCTGAGATTACAAACCTGTGACACCGAGCCTGGCTGCATGACTCCTTTTTTACAGGAGAATCAGGTAATCTTCATTTTCACATAAAAGCTGCTACTGTTGTTGTTGTTTTTTTTAATTTAAAGTTGTTTGTTTTTTTTTAAGGGTGCATGTGCACACAGGAGGGCAGAATGCCCTCAGATGACACAGGCAACTGATACTCCTGGAGCTGGAGTTACGGAAGGCTGTAAGCTGCCTGACACGGTGCTGGGAACCAGACTCAGGTCCTCTGCAAGAATATTATCTCCTTAGCCACTGAGCCCTTTCCAGCTTTGAGCTGCCATGGGGTTTTTAGAAAGGTTAAATCAAGCAGAGCTCACTCTTCCTTACTGGAGAGGCTGGAATTCATCTCCCTCTGTTTATTTTATTACTATGGCTACTATGGCTGTTACCACCCACCACCACCACCACTTTGAGACCTCAACACTATGTAGCTATGGCTGGCCTGGAACTCTATCATTATGTAGACCTGGCTGGCCTTGAGTTCATGGAGATCCACCTGCCTGTACATCCCAAGAGATGGGATTACATGCATGTGCCAACACACCCAGCAAAGCCATCTCTCAATTCATACTCATTTGTTATTTGTTACTGTGTGTGCCCGTGTGTAGAGATGGGAGGACAGCCTTGCATGTCATCCTTAGGAACGCTATCCGCCTCTTTTGAAACATGAAATTCCCATCTGCCTGGAGCTTACTTAGGGCCAGGCTGTCTGGCTGGGGAGCCCCAGGATCACCCCGCCTCTGCCTCCCCAGCACTGAAATGAGAAGCTTAAACTATCACACCCATTTTTTTTATACAGGAGCCCTGGGGATCAAACTCAGATTCTCAGGCTTACAGTGTATGACTGAGTGATCCCTTTCCCAAGACCTTGTTTGCAGTTTCCAGACACAGTCTCATATAGCTGAGGCTGACCTTGAACCTCCCGTCTTCCCGCCCCTCCCTCCCTCCCAAGTGCTGAGAACACGAGTGTGCACACCCAGTTCGCACGGAGTTGAAGACTACAGCAGAGTTTCGTGAGCGCCCTACCAACTAAGCTTCAGTCCCAGCTCCAGCTTTGTTTTTGCTTTTCTGTGAGTTCATTTGTATTTAGGGCAGTCTCTCTAGCCCAGACTAGACTGACTCCATGAATGTAGCTCAGCCTGGCCTAGAAGTCATAATTGGTACTCCTCTTCAGCCTCCCAAGTGCTGGGATTATAGGCAAGAGTTATCATGCTTAGCTGATTTTACATTCTTATATCTCGGATTTCTTTTTTTGTTTATTTGTCTGTTTGTTTTTCTGAGACAGGGTTTCTCTGTGTAGCCTTGGCTGTCCTGGACACAATTTGTAGACCAGGCTGACCTCAAACTCACAGAGATCTGCCTGCTTCTGCCTCCCAAGTGCTGGGATTAAAGGCGTGCAGCACCACTACCCAGCATGTGCATACCTAGAAAAGCTGGGAACAGGTCTCAGAATCTGAACTCTGGTCCTCTGGACAAGCAGCAAGTGCTTTTAACTGCGGAACCATCGTCTCTCTAGGCCCTCTTCCAGAATTAAAAAAACAAAAAACAAAAAAACCCAGTATGTTTGTTTGTTTGTAACAGAGTCTGAGTGTGTATAGCTCAGGCTGGCACGGGATCAACTGTGTAGTGTGGCCCTGAATCTATGGCACTCCTCTTGCTTCGGTTTCCCAAGTGCTGGGATTATTTCCAATACTTTTTCATTTTTTTTTCCTTATTCAATAATCTGGCCTTAATTTTAGGATATACAGCTTCATCTGCACACTGGAATTTAAGGCCAAATAAACCCACTCTCCCCACAACCTTCCTTCATTTGGTGCCACTTAGCAAAAAGCGCTCTCTGGGCCGTGAGTTAGGAACTTTCATTGGACTCCTGTGAATTTGTGCCACCCAGTGGTGAAAACTAGTAACTTCGTCCCAAAAAGCACAGGGTGCTCATTATGTTAAAGGCAACAGACACGTATGTCACAACAAAGGCGAGGTCTATATTACTGCCCAGTGGGGAAATAGTTCCTAACAACCAAGGATAGTTCCACTTTAAGTCTCGTTTTTTAAACGACTTAAAATAGACAGGGGGAGGCTATGTTCAGGGGTTTAGAGCCGTTTTGGTCTCTGCAGG